AACTTCGAAGTATAAATCAAATCCGTGATCAAATCAGGCGTATACAATCGAAAATACGTAAATTTATACATCACAATTAAAGCCATGTCAACAATATATTTTCTATTACACTCCTGCGAAGCGTCCCCCTATCTCGTCACGTGACATGAATAAAATGAGAACAATAACATATTTGTCACGTGGTCCAGCTAGCCTAACCATCCTCCTTCTATTAACCGTGATTTAAGGTGGTCCTAAGTTGAAAACAGTGTTAGTCCTGATATAATTACCAGAACGGTATATTACTCTACTTTGTTGAACAATGCTGGTTCCTTCGTTGTCATAATAATTAATCCTCACTAAATTTAGTAGTCATATAACTGGTCATCTCCTATGTACCATGTGAACATTTTCGGTCAACACCCTGTAAGGATAACTCCAAATCAATACAACAACAAGTGGAAGCGGCTTACTCCACTTTATAAATGAAATATTGTTCGTGAGCAATTACAATTTCAACATTAAGGATTCTCGTATTATCCTGGCAAATGAATTTTTTTTTTACTTTCATTTAACTGCCATATGTAGAACCAAAACCTTTTTCAAATGGTATGTTGAATGTAAAAGTTGATTTAAATGCCATTTATACGGTCGAGCATAAAAACCTATGACTCCCATAGCACAGATAACCCTAACTTTCAAACCAAAGTCGTAATTGACTTAACCCTTAACCCAAATTCCTAACCCTGCAAATAATGCAAAACCTACTTCATAAAAATCGAATATAACCTAAGGGATAATATAAATATTTAATAAATCACGATATATACACTACTACAAGAGCAGTTAAATGTGAACAAGGATGGTACAAATAGTAGTGCTGTTGGTTCATTCAGCAAAATATTCTGCATGGTTCAGTCCAAAGTATGTGAAGAATTATATTTCAACAAAACATTGCACCTTCAAAGCTTGAAGACAAATATGTCACACTAAAACACAATGACTCAAAGGTTTGTCTCCCTATATCGGCTGTTATTCTCTAGATAATCCTCTAGCTCATAATTATTAAATTTCGATTAGATCGAAAAGCCTAACAGATTCAAAAAGCTAATATAAGGGAGTCAGATACCTGTTTAACATATTCCACAAGGCTCAGCTGCAGATGGAATTATACCATAGATATCTTCTATACACTAGATAGCGCATCTCTTTTAGTAAAATTGAAGCTGAAAATATTCCAGCGGTTACCCCCATTTGAATAGATGGCGGCCATGTTGGTCATTCCCACTTGCTAATAAACATTTAAAACAACAATAACTTTCATCATTTGAATAAATTTAAAAACGTATTTGGGATAGGGTTAACTGAATGTTTAAGTTCCCTGTTTAAGAAATAGAAAACATACAAATCTTCTCATTTCATCGGTTGCTTTAAATATTATAATGATAATTTTAAAGTCAATTCTGAACTTAATAGGTAGCCAGTGCAAGGAATATAGGACTGGAGTAATATGGCAATATCTTGGTGTATGACTTATAAGCCTCGCAGCTGTGTTCTGAAGCAGTTGTAACTTGCTTAAATAGACTTCAGGTAAACCATATAATAAGCTGTTGCAATAGTCAATGCGCTGTATGACATAGGCATGAACAACTTGCTGTGCTGTGTGTTCACTTAAATATTTCCTTATGCACCTGATATTGTTAATATGATAGTATGCTGCTGAACAAGTTTTATTAATATGAGTTTGAAGGTTTAGATTATTGTCGAACCATACTCCAAGATTTTTTACCACAGGAACTTTCCCAACTTCAGTACTTCCGATCATGATATTATTGATATCAACTTTAGCAAGCTGTGGGTTGGTACCAAGAATCATGAATTCTGTTTTTCCATTGTTCATCCATAACTTGTCCATTACCATCCATGATTGAATGTCACGAATGCATAGCTCCATTGCTTTAACAGCTGATTATTGACTTGCCTCAGAGTCTGGTCTAAACGATATACAAAGTTGGGAATCATTTGCATAAGCATGAGCGTCAGGAAGATGATGCTTGATCACTTCAAATAATTTGCTAGCATATATGGTAAATAAGAGTGGACCCTAAACCTGACCTTGTGGGACAACGGAATTTAGTGGAAATCTGTCAGAAAGGTGACCATCCACGTAAATTCGCTGTGATCTATCTACTCTGAAGCAATAGATACAGGTCAAAACGCATCATGTGGTGCGATCAAACACTGCTCGTTCCACGAGTTTTGAGAAAAACTGTAAATTACTAATCGGTCTTAAATTTGAGAACGTGTTATCTGAACCATTTTTTTTCAGAAGAGGAATAATGAGGGCTTCTTTCCACAGATCAGGAAACTGACGATAGACAATGATGTGTTAACTATACTCTTGATAACGGGCAACAAAACATCTAAGCAATCAATTATCAACGATGTATGCAATGGATCTAACAAACATGTTCTCTTTGATGACTTCATGACAAGGCTATTTATCTCATCGTCAGTGAGTAGATGAATTTTCCTAACAAAGAATTTGCCAATACCGATTTATTTTGGTTTTCAGGAAAAGACAACTTTTCTCTGCTCTGAATAACTTGCCTTGATCTGAACTGTTGTTGTTGACAAAATCAGTATAAAATGAGCATCGGGCCTGGTTCATTAGATCGACTAAATCAAATCCCTTTTTAAAATCTGTGAAGAACACTCGGGCTGAACATGGACCTTTGTAAAGTCCGGCATGGATCTGATGCATAAGATAAACCAACACTTGACTTGTCGACTTCTTGGGCAAAGAGAACTGTTTTGGGCCCAGCTTATCTAAAACTTCTAGCAATAACGATTCCAAAGTAAATCCTTCCATTATTTTTGCAACTTGTGCTGTGAGGGAGATAGGACGTAGATCTTCTTTAATTTGGGGGAAAACTTTATGCTTTATCTGATTTTCTTGTTCTCAACTGCCGCTTAGGGAATAAAACTTTCAATCATACCAAACATGATAACATTATGCACCTATCAATGTTAATCCCGAGGGGGGAGGGGCCGGCCAAGGGGCGGGAATTTGACAGATTGTGACATCCCGGGGGTGAGGCATTGAAATCTCATGATTGCCCCGGGTGTGGTTTTTTAAATTTGTAGGTTTACCCCCCTGGGATTTTGACTCGTTCTCTCATACCCAGGCTTTTGAAATGCGCACGCCTGTCATGGCGGGAAAGATGGCCTCAGGAAAGATGGACAAACAGGAAAGATGGCCTCCTTCGAAGAAAGAAAGGTATGTTTATAGTATCCTTTTAAATTTCATGTGATATTTGATCCATCCTGTTGCACTTTTTCACAAAATGACTTTTTAATTTGTCTTTGCATATTATAATTCTACTATTTTGCGTTTTAAATGTGCTTTTATGCTTACATTAATAATTCAAAAGTTCAATACATATTTATAAACATGTAAAACAGAAAGCATGCATTTTGATGTCTATTTGTTTGCTAGTGCTTTGTGAACATTGGTCTATCGCTTCATGACAAAGGAATCATTGAAGTTGAGACAGAAAGTGATGGGTGTCTCAATTAGGAGTGTTCCACTTGCCTTTAACACATAATATATCCTCAACAAAACGCTCGAATTGAGCAAGGTTGCCTTGCCATTTAAATTTTTCTTTTTCATCAATAACCAACAAGTTCAATTGAGAGAATATATCCAATTTAGAAGCCATAAAGACTTAAGGATGTGCAGCTCTATATCCAATATATAATAAATCTAAAATGACAGAGCACTAAAGCACATGTCTGCCTCGGGCAACACGCAGTATAGAGCGCTTCACAGAATACGTGAAACTAATCAAACCTACTAATACACGAATAAAATATAGAGCACCTGTGTACCTGTCCTAAAACAAACAGACAAGCAAACAGGTAAAGTCCCAAATGCAAAAACTCTTCCTAACTGAAGAGCAAAAACCATGCACTTAGAAAAACAATAATATATACAAATACAATGTGTCCTTTCCAAGGAAAAAGAACAAATGCCAGGGAACAGACTATATTGGTCCAAGACCTCAAGTCTGCAACAAAAGCAAAGACAAAGAACAGCAAAAGGCAACCTTCCTTTGAATGATCCCCTAATTAGACCACTCAACAGGAAAACAACCAGAAAACACACTAGTCACCACTACCTAATAATATATGCAAAAAACACTGGCAATTGGCGGTCCTAAGGTGCTGTGGTGGGTGCTAACCACCCACTCCCACAGCGGAAAACTACTTGACCACCATCCGAAGAACGAGGCAAGCAGTCAAAAGAGAAAAAAAAGTACTGGACTAGTTGCTACCTAAACACCTAACAAGTTAGGCTGGCCAGTCAACCGGAAGACAGAACAAAGATGAGGGTGTGTCTGCACAAACAGCTGCAGCTAGTAGATTACCTTGACAGCAGAGTTATGGACCATGTTTTAAGCATAGATCCTCTACTGCAAGGGTGAAGAACCTGATGAGAGAAAGATGCTCGCGTCAGGTAAGTTTTGTGTTTATAGCCTACTGAACTCAACCCCAGGTGGGAAAGTGCAATGAGCAGCAGGTTAAAACACACAAGAGGCCGTCCACGTCCTACAGGGCAACTAACTAGGACTACCAACCTCTTGAGCGCAAAAACAACAGTATGCATGCACACTGTGCTAAACCCCAGGGGACACAAAGTGACCAATGGTGAGAGGTTAAAACGGGCTCTGAAGGGGCCCCAGTGAAAATGAACGAACTAAAAACTTAACCATGAACGCGTCAGGTGAGTATGCTGTCTTTTTCGCCGCTCACCTTATATATATGTTGATGATAAGCGATTGTGGGCTTCCTTGTTTGAACCTCACTAGCTGCCCATCTAGGAAATAAAAAAGTATGTCATTGAAATTGTATATAGTAGATTTGGTTTATAGTCAATGAACACACATAATGAGTACAAATCGACTTGTGATAAACGAGTCATATGATATGTAGGTCACACATGTTTCTATGCATGAGAGATGCCGATTTCGCCGGCTCACATGCTGGTGTAGTATGGACGACTTTTATAGTGGGTTTGTGAAAACAATCGTGTAAGTGTTTGTTTGTTTAAATTAAAGATTGTTCTGTTTTGTTTTGATTTGATCTGAAAATAAAAATACTCGGATGTTGTGCAATACCAAGACAACCCGTGGCCAGGGTGAAGCAAGTTTCAATCCCATGACCAAGGTCCAAAAATCAGTATAATATACGAGTTAGACATTGCTTAACATATCAGATATTAAGCTGATAAGAACAGAAATTTTTATTACGAAAATAGAAAGCCTATTTACATGAAGTATCTTAACTATTTGGACAAAAATACTAAAATTATACAACAATTCTGTATATATACAAACTGTTACTGTAATTTAAAATGTTCTTTGGCAAATTGTTCACTCCTAAATTAAGTTTGAAAGAATAATGATACATAGTAAATTAGAGTAATAATTAGAGGTGTGCATCGGATCGGATTGGATGTTTATAATCCGACACTTGGCTAATGTTTAAAATCCGATCCGAAATTGTCTGATCCGAGCTTTGAAGAAGAATTCCGATCCAAGGAAATAATAAAATAAATTTTGAAGAATCCTTTAAAAAATAATTTAAACACTCATTAATAATTGATAAGCTTATTGGCAAATCATGTCAACCATAATATGTCACATGCAGTGGCTTTAAACCTGATAAAACACTCCTAATTAGTATTCTTTATATAAAGAATACTAATAAGGCAGCATTCTATTGTAGTTGTGTCCTCATTGGTATTCTTTATATAAACAATAATAATAATAATAAACTTTATTTAAAGAAGGTGCAATTATACAAAAACCAGTTTAGCAACGCTAATCTTACACTGGGCCTTCAACATAACTAGAGTGACTTACACAAATCATTGATTTGAGCAGTCTTATTACCGTCCTTCAAGACAATACTAATAAGGCAGTATATCTATTGAATCTGTAGTCGTGTTTGAAGCCGTTTAATAAACTCACAGGTTGTGTTTTATTAGGTCTAAAGCCACTCGCGCTGCGTGCTCATCAACCTCATACCCAGGCTATTTTCTCTTATACTCGGTTCATGGCCACCTGCTGAGAAAATACCCTGGTATTGTCTGGTCACGTGTCTCCCAGAATCTGGGAGGTAACAATACATTTCTATTAGGGTGGGTAACTAAGTAGCGTTTTGTCACTAAGCAAGGAGTGAGCGAAGAAATAACGCAGAAATTATGCAGGAAATATTTACAAGATCGTATATTTTATTTGTCATGAATACTATCCAGTTACACAATTAGAAATATCAAATGTCATTGTGCCCAGAGTGTCGGTGAGCAAAGATATATCAGATTTCAATATACAAGGTGTGATATACGGCTCGTTGAAGAAATTGCACGTTGTCGCAAACGTTACAGGAAAATATATTTCCAGACCGACCGATGTAGCTGTTATTTACCTGCTGAAGTCTATCCTACAAGATTTATTTAATACTGAGATGTGGAATTGTAACAAAATAGAGACATCTTTTCAATTTCTGTAATATCGCAAACTACAAACGGAACAAACCTTGATTGTAAACAAATATGCTACTCGGACTGTTATTCAAAGCGCTGTGAAATTTCCAAATTCCATCATTGCCATTGACTTCGCTGAAACTTCATTGATGCCCAAGAAATATGTTGAAGTATACCTCTCTATTATCGAATCTACAGTAAAATAATCCAACAATAGCCTACTCAAAGATAAGTCAAAGGCAAAGACTCTTCTCTGTGTGTATGTTTTATATACAAATACTGTATATGACTGAATATTCGTAACTTATGTTTGACATTAGAGAATACAGACCACATAATAAATTTGATGAATATAGCTTTAATTTAATTGTGACAATCGTGTTACTGTAATTTGTTGATCGATGTTCATACAGTATTAAATACGCGAGAAATGTTTACTTTGTGAGATATAATACTGACTTATTATGCATGCTGGTGTGGGTTAGAGATCAATATATGTTGTGTTAATATACATATTTAGATTTAGAGTCTAACTATGTTGCACTAGAGATAAACCGGTTTGTTCTTGAAGAAAACGTGTTAAATAATGTGAAGTAATCAAACTCTAAGACTCCAATTAAGTAAGTGTTATATCTGCATGTGCATATCAGTGTTTATGGGTATATGACTGCATGTGCATATCAGTGTTTATGCCGTGGTTTATGGAAATATATATGACTATCTTCATGTTATAAAATGTGTACTGTATATCAGAAAAATATTTTTATAAATATTGCTGTAGGCCGAAAAAAAGGCTAAAGCTGTAATTGTCTATAATGCCTGATATACGCATTTCCCTGAGGCTTAGAATTTTTGTACATTCATCTGAAAATTTTTATACTTTACTACCTGCCCACCTCCTACCTATCTACAAGTTTCAAATATGATGAACTAGTGAATTAAAAGTATTTTGAAAGATAAATCATCAACAGTTTTAAAGTGAGCATTCAGTCTCTGTTTGGCAGTGTCCACATGTTTACATTGTGATTTGTGGCAAAATGTTACGTTTCAAAATCTATCAACCTTTAGTAAATCGGCACAAAGTTTATCAACGTTTGCAAACAACAAATCTATAAATGGCATATTTTAGAAACAGATAAAAGCGAAAATATACAAACGTTGACGACTGACCGGTTTGATATGAAAATATGTTTGAGAGAGAATACCCAACTTCGAACTTTAAAGTATACGATTTATTTGTTTCTTGACTTGACTGTTGATAAAATGCTACAATGCTTATGTAATTTAAAAGCAAACAGAAGTATGAAATAGAAGTTAGCGGG